TTGTCTTACCACTTATCTATTCATCCCTCTTTCCATTCATCTTATTTTTTGATGCCCTTCACTGTAAGCTGAAGACGTCAACACACTTCATCTCTATTGGTATGTATTACATTAATAGAGTTCATTATTTGCTTAGGGTTCTTTGTGCTGTTAAATAATCATGGAACATAAATAGGACATTCTCTGGGTTTTGACAGATGCATATGCCTGTGTATCCCCTACTATGACATGGATCACACTGTGAGCTTAGAAGTTCCCCTCATCTCCTTTCCTAGTTTCCACTTCTCTCTTCCACAAAGCCAATCTCTGTTTTTTATTTTTTTTTCCACTATAGGTTGGCTTTGCCTATTCTGGAAATTCATATATATGGAATCTTACAGTTTGTGCTCTTTCATATCTAGCTTCTTTCACTCAGTAAAATGTTTTTGAGATTGACTCCTGTTGTTTCATCAGTAATTTCTTTCTTTTGCTGAGTATTATTCCATTGTTTGAATATACCAGTTTTTATCTGTACTCCTGCTGTTGGACAACAATCCTGTTTCCAGTTTTTGGCAACAGTGAATAAAAACTGCCATAAATCGTCTAATACAAGTCTTTTTGTGGACATATGCTTTCATTTCTCTTGGGTAAATACCAGGAGTGGGATGGCTGGCTCAAAGAATAGGTGTGTTTAGTTTTATAAGAAACTTCCAGGCCCTTTTCCAAAATGGTTCTTCCATTTTACACTTCCACTAGCAATGTTGCTTCACATCCTCCCTGACATTTGGTGTGGTCATTTAAATTTTAGTCATTCTGGTACAGAGCTAACTCACTGAAATTTTAATGTTCATTTCACTCTGAATAATGATGCTGACTACTTTATCATGTGCTTATTGGCCATTCATATATATATATTTTTGTAAGGTTATCTGCCTTTCCATTGTTGAGTTTTTAATATATTCTAAATACAAGTTTTTATCAAGATACATGTACTGTGAATATTTTATCCTGGCTGGTGGTTTATACATAGTCTTAATGGTGTCTTGATGAAAAAAAGTTCAAACTTTTTTGGGAGTTCAATTTATCAATATTTTTCTTTCATGGTTAGTGCTTTCAAAACCCTCTCTAAGAAACTTTGCATACCCCCAAGCCGTGAGAATATTCTCATATGTCTTCTTCTAAAAGTGTAATAGCTTTGGCTTTTATGTTATGGCTATGATCCATCTCTAACTTCTATGTATGGTGTGAGGTAAGGTTCATTTTTTCTCTTATAGATGTCAAATTGGTATAGCATTGTCTGTTGAAAAGACTTTCCTTTCCCACTGAGTTGCTTTGGTACTTCTGTAAAATATCAAACTACTTCATGTTTAAATTTATTTAATCTTTATGTTTTCCTTTTACCTTCTCTTAACATTCTTTCACTGGAGGTGGTAGTGGTGGATATGTTTTCCTTATTTTACAGTTGAGAAAACCAAGGCTCACAGCCGTTCAAGAACTTGTCCAACGAGACAAAAGCTGGGGACTAGACCATAGAACTACAACTGAATCATAAAAAAAATTGTTTACATTTTACCTATTTTATCCCATGAAAATATTATTAAATGGACACTTTTTCTGAAGGTGATGTAGTGAGAGAAGTGAATCATGAATTTTTTAATATTTTAATACTGGTGGTATTTTTAGACTGCCAGCTAAACACATGCTTCCTTTGTAGGCTTATGTATGTCTAAAGCAATCTCTATACTATGTATCTTTGGTTTGAAAGAGTAAAAAATTATAATAATTGCTTTGCAAAATTTGGTAAGAATAATAACTTTTAGCCAAAGTTGCTTGTTGGTAAGAATAATAGCTTTTAGCCAAAGTTGCTTGAACTTTAAGAATGTATTTCCCTCACCCTGATCTAAAAAAAAAAAAAAAAAAAAAAAAAAAAAAAAAAAAAAAAAAGTCTTACTCTTTGATTTTTTCAGAGAAATAAAGCAGTAAAGGTACATATAATGAAGACAGATGTAAAAATTATCAACTACTCTTGTAGCTACTCTTATTCTTTTTTTCCTCTTTCTCCTACTCTGTTATATACTTGAGCACCCAGCCTATCTTTAAATGCTTGTACCATCTTCTTTTCCAATCTTATGAAAGCACTTTTCCGGCAACCTTGATCACTTGCTGAGACTAGGATGACCTCAATTTTCTAGTTCTCCAGATCACCAAGCTTCATCCCCTCTCCCCCACCAAATGATCAGTCTTCTGTTCCCACCTCACTTGCCCAACTGTGACTCACAAATAAATGGCCTATCTTTTTGGATCACTACTCCGGTAAGAACTGCCTTTCCCCACGTATAGGGAGGCAACTTTATTAAAAACACTGGTCTACAATATAATTATACTTAGAGATGTCACAAGTAAACTATCTATATCTGGTGAATAACTTCGGAAAGAGGGTCACACAGCTATTTGAAGCCAACCTGGGGCCAGGGCTCATGTCTTCTTGATAACTTCATTATTCTTCTCCCATACTGCATGTCCTCCCTCAAATATCTATTAAACCAAGATACTATAAAGTGAGACTAGGTTAACTATTCCCCACTCCAAGATGCAAAAACTTAGGTCACAGTGGGGAATGTGTTAACAACCAGTCAGAGATTTCCTGAGACCAAGTCTGTTAGGCTAGCCATTATTTCTCCTTTGCCCTTTATCAAAAAAGAGAACTAAAAAAAAAAGTGTCATCAACTCAAGGACAAAATACACATATCCCAATGACTATTTTTTATTGTAAGAAAGTTATGTGCTCTGTGTGCACATTAAGTGCTACCAAATAGCATACTTTGTAACCTCCTTTAGTGCCTGTCAGAGGCCTAGCTAGTGAGTGGCACCTGATCAATAGTCTTGGGATAAGAAAGTTTCTCATCAAAAAGAGTAGAAAAAGTTTATCAGTGTCCTTCCTAAGAGAAAGACATTCTGTAGTAGTTTTAATATGATAAAGATACCTTAGCACTGAAACTAATTGTTCTTGAGAGACAAAGTTGGAAGATTTACACTTCCTGACTTCAAAACTTACGCAAAGCTCCATAATTGAAACAGTCTGGACTGGCACAAGGATAGACATATGGAACTGAGAGTCCAGAAACAAAACCTTACATTTATGGCCAATTGATTTTTGACTAGTTTGCCTAGCAAGTTCAGTAGTGGAGAAAACAGTCTTTTCAACAAGGTGCTGGGACAATTGGATATTCACATGCAAGAGAATTTAGGCCCTCTACCTTACATATATACAAAAATAAACTCAAAATGGATCAAAGACTTAAATCTAAGAGCAAAAACTATAAAACTTAGACAAAAACACAGGTGTTAGTCTTTGTGATCTTGGATTAGGCAAATGGCTTCTTAGACATGAAACCAAAAGCACAAATGACAAAAGAACAAATAGACAAACTGGACTTCATACAAATTGAAAACATCTGTGCTTCAAAGGACACATCAAGAAAGTAAAAACCCACAAGAATGGAAGAAAATATTTGTAAATCATATATCTGATGAGACACAGCTAGAATATACAAAGAACTCTTATAGTTCAATAATAAAAGTACAAATCACTCAATTAAAAAATGGGCAAGGGATATGAATAGACATTTTTCCACAGAAAAAAATATAAATGGTCAATAAGCATATAAAAGATGCTTAGTATCAGTCATTAGGGAAATGCAAATCAAAACCACAATGAAATATCCCTTCATATTCCATGGTGTGGAGAAACTGAACCCTCAAACCTTGATGAGAATGTGCATCCCTTTGGTGCACTGCAAATGGTGCAGTCCCTTTGGAAAAAGTTTGGCAGCGTCTCAAAAAGTTAAACATAGGGTTACCATGTGACCCAACAATTCCACTCCTAGGTACATATCCCAAAGGACCGAAAACACAAAAGACTTGTATATGAATGTTCATAGCAACACTATTCATAATAGCTAAACAGTGCTAATAACCCAATGTCCATCAACTGATGAATGGTTAAACAGAATATGGTATATCTATATAATAAAATATTATTTGGCAAATAAAAAAATAACTGATACATGTTATAAGATGGGTGAATCATGAAAACATGCTAAGTGAAAGAAGCCAGACACAAAAGAACACACATTATACTGACTCCATTTTTATGAATGTCCAGAACAGGCAAATTTTATACAGCCAGAAAATAGACTAGTAGTTGCCAAGGGATGGGGAGTATGGTGAATCGGGAGATACAGTGTTTCTTTTTGGGATGATAAAAATGGTAATAATGGTTGTATAATTTTGTGAATACACTAAAATGAAATGAATTGTACATTTTAAAATGGAAGTTTTATGGTATGTGAATTATATCTCAATTTAAAAAAGAAAAAGACAAGCAAGCATAGCATACCTTAAAGTTTTCCTAAACATAAAACAAAAACTTGAACCCTTTTTTATGGCTTGAATTCAATGTTATCAATATTACCTTTTTCTTCTTCGACAATAATAATCATAATGATAAAAATAGCAGGTACTTATTAAGCACTTACTAGGCAGGCAGCAAGCAAGCATTTTATACCTGGTATTTTCTCTCAAATCATCTCAATGATCTTGTACATGGAGTTATTATCCCATTTTATAGAAAGGAAAATGAAGGTAAAAGAGGCTCAGTAATTTGCCCCAGGTTATATAAAGGCAATTAAGTTTGACTCCAGAGGTTCTATTATGCAATTTTATCTTCCTTAAAACAGTGACTTATTGGTCTCAAGTACTAAATTATTTTTCAATGTATTATGTTGTTTTTCTATCACCATCAATGAATTAGATATCATTTCAGGACCCAGTATTAAATAATGATCTTAACCTCCTTATCTTGTTGAGAACAGGGCAAAGACATAAGGAAATTCCTATATGACAAGTTTTTATTTGTATCAAATTACAGAGTACCATAGGTAAATATAAGATTATAATTTGAATACTATAACTTATAATTTGGCAAATTATTTAATTATCCAAAATTTATTACATGTTTGAGTATGCACTAAAGAGGTTATTTGGCATAACTTGGCAAGATAAATTCTTCTGTACCTTATTTGACCACTTATCATTTATATATGTGGTACACATATATGTATGTATATACATACACACATACATATATACATACACATACTCCTAAATTAAGTATACTCGTATAAAAAGCTGAAGATTGATGTTTTAGAATTAATTCCTGTTTAAAAATCTATTATATTAAATCACATCTGCATTCAAAGCAGAAATGTAAAAAAAAACTGATCAATTTGCTAAATACACATGAATTTACAAAGTAATTGAAAATGAAATAAAAATTTCCATTGAAATGTTATATTCCTGTTTAATCAACATTTAAGTGGCACTATCAAACTATGGAAATAGACATTATTTTTTTAGGTTGTTGAGAGAATAAAGATTCTACTGAGAATTACTGTACCCTCCAAATTAAGAATGAATATTATTATAGTAGGAAAAGATGGCAGATAATTTTCTTCTTTATTAATATGGGAATTCTCAGGAAGCAATCAGGGCAGTATCTGTTCCACTGGGCTTGGATTTCCTGCATTTCTATCAGTGGAAATCTGGCTTCTCAGGAAAAGTGCAGCCAGTCCGCCTAATTATGACGCTTGCTGCGTAGTGACCAGCACGGATGCATTCAGTCAGGGGCTTGTCAGAGACCAGCTGAGACAGAAAACCTGGAACACAGACAAAAGGGAAGAACATGAGTATTGTCTAATAGCGTCAGAAATGTCATGTTGGGTCAGGCCAAAAAGTGGTCTATGTACCTATCTCTTTCTTCAGTCTTGATAGTAAGTGTTAAACTCCAAGTGTTAGAGTCCATGTGGAAGAATTCTTCCCCCAAATATCATAGGTTTTCCTCAACATTTCTTTTAAAGAGCTCAAGTTGGGACATGACAATTCACCATCAAGTCATTCTAGTCTTTGTAAGCCAAAAGTATAATCACACTTTCCTTTAGTTTTGAGATTAAGAGGTTGTGAGTAAGAAATACCGGCCAAATAATATTATCTTGGGTCTTTATAGCTGAGAAGTTATTCCCTCACTCCATCTCTCTGGATTCCTTCTGTGTTGTTATTCCTAGCATATGCTTTTGCACAAAACTCTATTGTATGGATATCTCTCCAAGTACAAATTTAAGAGTTGAAAAGTTATAAAGGACCTTACATCTCCCTTTTACTCCCAGAAGCAACTGTGAAATAATTTCTATAGTCAAGTGCCATGGACTAGTTGACATTAAAATAAATGTGATAAAGTAGAAAATAGTGTTAAGGACTTCTGTTTCTGACCACAAAGAAATAAAATAAAAGCAACCAGATTTATCCTTTTCCAGAAACTACTAACATTAAAGACAAAGTATATGAAGGCAAGTTTTTCAAATACTGTAAAAGATTCATGAAGGGAGGGAAACAAATGGGGTAAACTATAAAATTGCTCTAGCTTACCACCTAGAGAGAGTTACCAGGCCACAACACAAGAAACAACAACCTAGGGAGAGTTCAACAGTCTCATTGAGTTGACAGGATGGATTTGGGAGTCTAAGTAGGACAAAATTAATAGGCAAACTGATCAGGGAGAAAAAGAGAGAGAAGATGTAAGTTGCCATTATTGAGGATAAGAGATGTGATGTCACTATAGAATCTACATACACTAAAAGAATAACAAACAAAGAAACATTAACAACTTTATGCCAATAGATTTGGTAAATTAGATGAACTGGACAAATTTGTGGAAAGACACAAGTTATCAAAGTTCAGGAAGAAATAGATAGCCTGACTAGTCTTGTACCTACTAAACATATTGATTTTATAGTTAAAAAGCTTCCAATAAAGAGAATTTCAGGTCCAGATGTTGTCACCGGTGAATTCTACCAAATATTTAGGGAATAAAAATAGTATCAATGCTATACAATAACCTATTTAGAAAACTGAAAATACTTCCCAACTTATTCCTTGAGGCTAGCATCACTCTGATACCAAAAAAAGAAAGAAAAAAAAGAAAAAAAAGATGCAAATATTTTTTTTTTAATTTTTTTTTTTCAACGTTTATTTATTTTTGGGACAGAGAGAGACAGAGCATGAACGGGGGAGGGGCAGAGACAGAGGGAGACACAGAATCGAAAACAGGCTCCAGGCTCTGAGCCATCAGCCCAGAGCCTGACGCGGGGCTCGAACTCACGGACCGCGAGATCGTGACCTGGCTGAAGTCGGACGCTTAACCGACTGCGCCACCCAGGCGCCCCAAAGATGCAAATATTTTAAAGAAAATTTTAGCAAAGCAAATCCAACAGTATATTAAAAAAGATAATAAATTATTATTATCTTAGGAATGCAAGGTTGGTGTAACATTCAAAAATCAATCAATGTAATTTACCATAACTAAGAAAACCATAAGATCATCTAATAGAAGAAGAAAAAGCAGTTGGCAAAATCCAAATACATTCCTAATAACAACTTTCAGCAACCTAGGAATACAAAGGAACTTCCTCAACCTGATAAAGGGCAGTTAGGAAAACTTACAGTTAAAATCATTCTTAATGGTGGATGGTGGAATGTTTTCCCCTTAGGATCAAGAACAAGACAAAAATGTTTGCTCTTAAACAGTGTACTGTACTGAACAATTTAGCCAGTACACTAAGGCAAACAAAAGAAATAAATAAAAGTTGGGGCGCCTGGTGGCTCAGTTGGTTAAGTGTTGGACTTTTGATTTTGGCTCAGGTAACGATCTCATGATTTGTGGGATCAAGCTCCGTGTCGGGTTCTGAGCGGGCAGCATGGAGCCAGCTTGGGATTCTTTTTCTCTCTCTGTCCCTCCCTTGCTCTCTCTTTCCAAAATAAATAAACAGACATTTTATTTTTTTTAATGTTTTTTTTTTTTTTGACAGAGACAGAGAGAGAGAGAGAGAGAGAGAGAGAGAGAGCGAGCATGAGCGGGGGAGGGGCAGAGAGAGAGGGAGACACAGAATCCTAAGCAGGCTCCAGGCTCTGAGCTGTCAGCCCAGAGCCTGACGTGGGGCTCGAACTCACAGACTGCGAGATCATGACCTGAGCCGAAGTCGGACGCTCAACCGACTGAGCCACCCAGGTGTCCCTAAACAGACATTTTAGAAAAAAAAGAAATAAATAAAAGGTATCAAGTGCTTGCTTTGGCAGCACATATACTAAAACTGCAATGATACAGAGAAGCTTAGCATAGCCTCTGAACAAGGACAACAAGCAAATTCGTGAAAAAAAAAAAAAAGGCATTAAGATGGAAAAAGAAGGGAAGTTGTCTTTGTTTACAGACGGCATGTTTGTCTATGTCTATGGTTCTCAATAGTGGGTAATTTTGCCCCCCACCAGAGGACATTTGGTAAGGTCTGGCAATTTCTGGTTGTCACAGCTAGGGTAGAGGGTGCTGCTGGTATCTAATAAGTAGAAAGAGGGATGCTGTTAAATATCTTACTGCGTCTATAATGCTGAGATTGAGAAATTCCTGGTCTTTGTAGAATATCTTATAGAATCTAGAAAAAAATTACTGGAACTACTAAGTGAGTTTAGTAAGGCTGCAGGGTACAAGATCACTATACAAAAATCAAGTGAATTTCCATACTATATACACACCATACTGTGTGTGTATATATAGCAAGATATACCAGCAATGAACAATTAGAAATTGATATTAAAAATCACTTTTAGGGGCGCCTGGGTGGCACAGTCGGTTAAGCGTCCGACTTCAGCCAGGTCACGATCTTGCGGTCCGTGAGTTCGAGCCCCGCGTCAGGCTCTGGGCTGATGGCTCGGAGCCTGGAGCCTGTTTCCGATTCTGTGTCTCCCTCTCTCTCTGCCCCTCCCCCGTTCATGCTCTGTCTCTCTCTGTCCCCAAAAAAAAAAAAAAAAAAAAAAAAAGTTGAAAAAAAATTAAAAAAAAAATCACTTTTAACATACTATCAAATATGTGTAATACCTGATAAAAGTGTAAGACCTGCACACTGTAAATGACAAAACAATGCCAAGAAAAAGGAAAGAAGCCTACATAAATGGAGAGATATAAAGTGTCTGTAGATCAGAAGATTCAATATTGTTAACAGCTCTAAGAAATTTTTCTATGGATTTAATGTAATACCAATAAAAATTCTAGCAGACCTATCTTTCATTTTTTTTTAAGTTTTTTTGTTAAGTTTACTTATTTTGAGAGAGAGAGAGAGCATGTGGATGTGAGCAGGGGAGGGCAGAGATAGAGGGAGAGAATCCTAAGCAGGCTTCATGCTGTCAGCACAGAACCCAACGTGGGGCTTGATCTCAGGAACTGTGAGACCATGACCTGAGCTGAAATCAAGTGTCAGGTGCTTACATGACTGGGCCACCCAGGCGCCCCTCCAGCAGGCCTTTCTTATAGAAACTGTTAGCTGATTCCAATATTTATGTGGAAATGCAAAGGACTAAGATTAGTCAAAATACACCTTTGAAAAACAAGATTCCTTTAGTTACAACTTATCACAGAACTAAAATAATCAAGACACTATGCTATTGGCATAAGGATAAACAAACAGATCAATGCACCTGCACAGAGTCCAGAAATAAACCTACTTCTATATCATCAACTGATTTTTGATGAAACTATCAAAACAATCCAGTGGAGAAAAGATAATCTTTTTTAAACATTTTTTTAAACATTTAAAAAAAATATTTATTTATTTTTGACACACAGAGAGAGAGATAGATAGAGAGAGAGAGAGAGAGAGAGATTGAGAGCATGAGTGGGGGAGGTGCAAAGAGAGAAGGGAGACACAGAATCTGAAGCAGACTCTAGGCTCCAAGCTGTCAGCACAGAGCCTGATGCGGAGCTCGAACTCTGGACCGCAAGATCATGACCTGAACCGAAGAAGGGACACTCAACCGACTGAGCCACCCAGGCACCCCGAAAAGATAATCTTTTAAACAAATGTTCTTAGAACAGCTGGATGGCATATTTGGAAAAACAAACAAACAAACAAACAAACAAACCACTTCAACCCTTACTTAACATCATCTACAAAAATTAATTTGAAATGGGTCACAGATCTAAATGTAAGAGGTAAAACCATTAAATTCTGAGAGGAAAACATAGAAAATCTTAGTGATTTGGAATTTGCCAAAAATCTCTTAAGTAAGACATAAAAAGTACAAAATTTTATAAAGGAAAAAATAACTGGGCTTTGTCAAATTGAACACTTTACACTTCAATAACAAGAAACAACACAATAAAGAATGAGCAAAAGTGTTGAACTAACATTTTAGCAAAGAAGATGAACAAATGTCAAATAATATATTACTACCAACCTGCTAGAATGGCTAAAATTAAAGACTGACCATAACAAGTGTTATCAATGGTGTGGGTGAATTGGAATCCTCATATACTGATGGTGGGAACATAAAATTGTAAGACCACTTTGAAAACCATTTGTCAGTGTCTTAAAAAGTTAAACATACATTTACCATTTGACCTAGTCATTTTATTTCTAAGTATTTAACCCAAGGTCAATGAAAGCATATATTCACACTAAAGATGTGTAGTGAATGTTCACAAAAGCTTTGTTTGTAATCTCCCCAAACTGGAAATGATCCAGATGTGGATGAGAAGAAGCAGGAAGGCAGGATTACAAAACAGCATGGGGGTAGTGGATATGTCTATAGTGATGGTTTTATGGGTGTATGCCTC